CACACTCCCGAGCGGCCTGGAGCGGGTGGGCATCGGGAAGCCACCTGCCGCCCTCAGAGACACGGCTCAGGTCCCAGCCGAGTGGGTCAGAGGTCAAGGGCAGCCTCTGCTCTCTCTCTCACAGCCTCATCCCGTGCACACAAAACATCACATAGAGACCTCACAAGGCAGCAGTGGCCTCTGAACACTTCTCAGGGGGCAAAAGCAAAGCCAGTTCAACTCTCATCATTCTGGGGAGCCCTGAGCGACATGGGGTGCTGTTCCGGCAGCTAACACATGCCTCCCCCATTCGGACGCACCTGCTTGGGGCCTCGTCACCGGGCCCCACAGTGAGCTAGTTCCCCATCAAAGAGCTTAGGCACCTTCCCCTTCCTGGCCCCGTGTTTCCCCTTTTGTCTCCATTAGAACTTCCCACTCCCTGCAGCAGCGGTCTTGATGGCGAACTTGGGAACCACAGACTCTTCCCCTAGAATCCCCAAGCAAACCTCCAGAGCGTGGGTGGGCCCATGGGTCATGCGCACACCCATTCCCACCTGGTGCCTGAAGAAAGCCTATGGCTGCCTCATCTGGCTGGCTTGGCCAGGACCCTTTCTTCTGATTTGAGGCAATGAGGCTCCCCCCTCAGCCCAGTCTTTCTCCCCTGCTCACAGGACACCCCAAAACGCCTGGTCCGGGGAGAGGCGCCCTGAGCTCCTGGACATCTTCTCAGGTGAGTAGCGTGAACGCTCCCAGATGCACATGCACATGACTGTGAAATACGGGGTGAGGGGGTTCTGTACCAGGCTGCCTCAACGGCTCACGGCCAGTGGACAGGGAGGGACGTCTTAACCCAGGACTTTCCCTTGGATGCTAAGTATTCTCATGCAACCTTACAAAGGCAGCAAAAAAACAGGAAATTCACTTTCAGAATACTGTCAGATTGGACGTGTGCTAACCTTGTGGGTAAAGTCTGAGGAGTAGGAAGGTCTTTATATACTCGAGGTATTTTTCATTACCAAAAGGGAGGACAGTAACTACCCTGTAAAACCAGCAGGAAACACCTTCGCCAGGTCATCAGAATTCCTGCCACCAGAGGCAGAACAAACCCAAGTCCCCGGGGAGGGAGCAATGCAAAGATTTTTCCATGGGATTCCAGTCCCTGTGAAGAACCTGCAACCACCCATGGGGAAGCATGGGAGAGCCCAGCAGAGGGACCTTCCGCAAAACCACAGGCCTGCGCCTCTCAAAAACGTCAGTGTCCTGAAACACCAAGGAAAAACAATTGTTGCGGACCGCCGGACAAGAGAGAGACCGGACAACTAAGTCAGACACAAGCCAAGGGTGTCCCTTTGCCACTGGGGACACTGGCAGGAGAGACAACATCCCTGGTAAAGTCCTCTCTCCGATAACAGCATTGTTCCGGGCGATACCATTGTCCTGCTTCTGGAAGGTGTACGTGTTCACCTAAGAGACGGTCCCTTTCTTTTGGAAAAATACCAAAGGATTTAGGGGTTCTGAGGTCATCAGTCTATACTCTTAAATGGCTCCAGAAAAATAAACACAGAAGACAGAAGCCAATGTGATACCATGTTTGTAACGGCAGAAATCTGGAAAGTTACAAATAAATTGTGTAATGATATCCCAACCTTAAGAATTATCCTCAGGCCAAGAGACAAGACGGGATCATAAATGGAGGACCGACCCTTGGAGTTCTAACCTGAGACCACAACCATTTATGGTTTTGTGAGCTCGGGCAAATCTCGTGAGCTGTGACTAGAGGGTGACCGTCCTGCCCAGCACAAGACTACTGGTGACCAATGAGCTCCAGAATGGACCGGCACTTTACAAGAACTCCGGAGCCAGACGCAACTCATGATAAAATGCCATTTCCTTGAGCATAAAGTCTAAGTTGCCCTCCTTCCCCAGTGGGCAAAGAAAAAAAGTCTTTCTGTAAAGGGAACCTGCTCAGGTATTACGATGGGGCCTGAGGGGGTCGTGCATCGTCCAGGTCCTTTCTGGGAAGGGGTGTGGTGTAGGATCCTATCTGGTCTCCTGCTTTCCGTGGTCCAGTTTTAGAGATGGCTTTTTTTTTTTCATTTAACATTCTATCATGTTCACAGCCAGTACTGATGGCTACGTAACGTTTCCTGTGGGGTACAGTTAGTAACCCTCTGTTCCCGTATATTTTGGACGTTCAGGTTGCTTCCAAATTCCCACACAAACTCCTTTGTATCTACGGCTTTGAATGTATTTTGGATTATCTCATTAGAGAGGGTCCCTAAAAATAGGATTACTGGATCAAAGGGTACAAACCAGATACTTTCTATGAGGATTATCCCAGTTTCCACTGCCAATAACAATGTCGGAAAATAAGTTTTACCAGCATTTATCGCATTAGTATTCCGCTTTCCTATTTTTTCCCAATTTAATAAGAAAATGTACCTCAATGTTATAATTTGTATTGTTTTGGCTATTAATGGGAGAAACTTTCCCCTATATATTTATGAACCATTCTGACTCTTTTGTCGCAATGTCTCCTTTGGCCATTTACCAGGATATTTGTGTTTTTTGTTTTTTTGAACATTTCAGGGGCACCTGGCTGGCTCAGTCGGTAGAGCATGTGACTCGTGATCTTGGGGTTTGGGGTTTGGGTGGCAATTTGGGTGTAGAGACCATTTAAAAATAAAATCTTTAAAAAAAAATAATTTCAGGGGCGCCTGGGTGGCTCAGTGGGTTTAACCTCTGCCTTCGGCTCAGGTCATGATCTCAGGGTCCTGGGATCAAGCCCTGCATCGGGCTCTCTGCTCGGCGGGGAGCCTGTTTCCCCCCCATCCCTCTGCCTGCCTCTCTGCCTACTTGAGATCTCTGTCTGTCAAGTAAATAAATAAAATCTTAAAAAAAAATAATTTCATAAAAACTCCAACAGACATTCTCAACCTCTGCGCTGTCACGTTTTAAAATGCCTTCCCAGACTGAAGGTTTGACGAGGACCCATCCTCAGCAGGCTGAGCTGGTTACAAGTGGATGACTGAGGAGTCTCTGTCTGAAGACGAGATTTCTCAGGCCAACAGGTCTTTAACCATTTTAAACTCATCCTCCAAAGAAAGCCACTAGAGAGCCCTCAGTAAGGTCATTAGCATTACAGCCTGGGAGGATCTAGGTCAATAAATGAACCTGTCAGACGGGTTTTCTATCAATTCTCTTAGACCAGCAAGGTGCTGAGAGCTAACTTCTGAAGGGAACTCCAGAGAACAAATTATCAAACTCCCTTTGTAGCTTGGATATAGGTAATTTTTTTTTTTTTTTTTTAAAGCAGGCTCCCTGTCCAGTGTGGATCCCAGTGTAGGGCTCGAACTTACGACCCTAAGATCAAGGCCTGAGCTGAGATCAGAGTTGGAGGTTTAACCGAACCACCCAGGCAGCCTGGTAATTTTTTTTGAGAAGTTGATGGATCACATTCTGAGGACAAGATGAACAACTCCCTTCTTTTTCGTGGCTAGCACAGAGGACCCAATTGGCTTCTGAGAAGGCCTTTTCCCAGCATCATACCAAACACCTCTAGGACTGAAAGGAAGGAACTCCCAACTCAGGTTCATTAGAAAATACATCTTTTCTACAGGAGATGTATCAGATTTGCTCCATCATTTAAAAAATATACTGCTTTTAAATACTCTTTTTTTAAGAGCGGGGGGAAAAAAGAGAAGAGATTCTTGGCAAAGGAAAGTCCAGTCTGGGGCTCGTTCTCAAGTGTATGTGAACTCTGGTGTACGCCCAGCCAGACTGCCCAGGACTGGGTCTCTGAAATAGACAGAGGCCAGCAGGGGGGGCGGGGGGCAGGGGAAGCTGCAAGGGGAGGAAAGGGGGCCCCGGGGGGGGTCTCTGCAGCATCTGAGGCCCTGTCTGGCTCCCTGAAAAACTTTTGACATGAACAGCTGAGGAGCAGGTCACTTAAGCTTCCCAGGGACCAGCTGGCGTTCATCCAGCAGCTCTGAGCCCCAGAGGTCAAGTGACTCTTGCAGGCTTGTGATCTCACCGTTGTGACACCCAGGTGACCTGTCTCTGCCAAAGTGCTGACTGTCCTCAGTCCCGTGGAAAGCACTCAAGTATTTAACAGCGAGGTCCTATAATTAGGGCAGTACTGGGTGCTCTTATCTGGGAGAGGGCCAAGGGTCAACGAGCCCTGTAGGATTCCTGCCTTGCGTGGAGTGCAGGACACCATCGGTGTTCAGACTGGGGAAAGTACACCAGGAAAAGGGCGACCTTCCACAGGCAAAGGTGTCCTGATGAGGTGCTCTAATGCCAGGGCCAGGCAAAGCCCTCCATTGACTCTACTGTCATAGATTCCAGGCACCTGGGGGCCCTCTTCCAGACCAGCCCCTGCCACTGACCTCATCCTCAGAGGTTCTGAACCCTAGAAAGTCCAGATCATCTGGGTCTAGAGATGAGCAAAAGCAAAATACTGAAGACAATACTCTTTAAACCTTCCCGCTGAGACACTGCATTTGGCCACCAGTAGCCAGCCCGGGAGTGGCTGAATGCATCACACCTACTGTGGAACAGGGTGGGACTGGGCGCCGCCGCCCTCTCCAGCCTGAAGTGGCACCTATCTCCCCTCCTCAGCCTGGGAAGGAGGAGCTTCTCCCCATGGGCAGCAGAGATGAAAAATGGCCAGAACGCAGGGAAGCAGGAGGCAAAAGGCATAAGGTGTCCTCGCCATCTCCCCAGGTGCTTCCAACTTACGAGGGCCGAGCGCTGGCCCCGCACCTCTCCGGGAGGTTCGGGCTCCGTAGCCGGCCCAAAGGGGTGCCCTCTGCCCTGATGCTCAGGGCAGGTCCACCGCTCCGCCCAACTCTTCCCGCCGGCCCCCGACTGCCTCAGAACACGAGCAGACACGACCCTCTGGGCCCCCAGCCAGGGCTCCGACCAAGATGCGGGTGCCAGGAAGGCGCGAGGGCCACAGGGCAGCAGGCAGGTCCCAGGTGGGGGTCGGGGACTCGAGGGAAGGCGCCGCTGCCACGCACCTGACGACGTGGAAGGCCCAGAGCAGGCGGCCGCCCCGAGGCTCGCGCGCCACGCGGACGATGCTGAGGTACAGGTAGAGGGCGATGGCCACGGTCCAGAAGAAGGAGCTGGTGTTGGCAAAGGTGGAGAGCGCGCCCTGCAGCACGCAGTCCCACGAGGGGCCCGCGAAGTCCTGCAGCACCCCGTAGAAGTAGGAGGCGGCCGAGAGCAGGTCCGCCAGCGACAGGAAGAGCAGCAGGCGCCGTGCCCGGGTGCGCAGGTCGGGCCACAGGGCGTGCGTGGCCACCAACAGGCCCGAGCCGAGCGCGGAGAGCACGCACGACAGCAGCACCACGGCGCGCTCCGACGGCAGCAGCTCGGTGGGCGGCGCGGGCGACGGCATGGCCGGGCGGGCAGGGGGCCGGGGCCGCGGGGACAGAGGCCGGGACGCGCGTGCGGCTCCCGCCGCCGCCGCCGTCTGGGCACAGACGCGCCCACGGCTCGCGTCCCGGCCACTCCCGGTCCCTCCCGGCCCGCGGCCCTGCGGCCCGCCCCCTCCACGCCCCGCCCAGCGCCCCGCCCCAGCCTCCGCGCTCCACCCCTCGCCTCCTCCACGCCCCGCCCCACACCCCTAAGCCCTCCGCGGCCCGCCCTCGGCGGCGGCCCGCGGTCTCCGGACCCCGGCGCCCTCTGCACCCCGACCCCGGCGCCCTCCGCCCCCGCCTCCCGCTCCCGGCCCAACCCGGATCCCGGGGTCCTCTGCGCCCCGCCCCCGCCCCCGGCGCCCTCCGCACTCCGCCCAGCCCCTGGCGTCCTCTGAGCTCCGCCTTCGACCCCGCGCCCTCAGCCCAGCTCTCCTCCTCCCGCCCCGGCCGGGGCCGCGCGCCTTCCACCGCCCACCCCGTGGCCTTAGCGCGTGGTTCGTGGCGGGGCTCCTGGACCCCCGAGCGTCCATCCCGAGCCACGCCCCCACGCCCTCTAGCCCCCACTCCGTGGCTCCCACGTCTCTTGCCGCGTCCCCGCGCCCGTGGCCTCCTTCCCGCGCCAGGGCCACCCGTACTCTAGCCAGATGGCTAGGACATCACGTCCTGGAGAGGGAAGGGCTGGCATTTTTAGGGCTAGTGTTACCTTCCGTTCAGCCAGCTGGTGTGCGGTGTTGTGCGCTGGGTGAGGGGCCGAGGCGTTCTCTCCACTAGTGGCCCAAAAACCGTGGAGTGTGACCATCCTTCCTCGTACAGCGGTACCCGGACTGTTCACAGGGTAGTGATGGTTGCTTTGCGAAGGGAGTGTTTTCATTTATTTCTTAAAAATAAAGTCAAAAAGTAAAGTCAAGCTTATTAGGGTTTCTTTTGTAGTGAAATATTAATTCCCGATTTATTGGTTTTTACTTCTTTGAAAATTTCTTATTTTTTTTAATTGAGATACCATTCACATACCACAAAATTGGCCCCTTTGAGTGTGCAGTTCCGTAGTTTACAGTATATTCACAAGTCTGTGCAACCGTTACAAGTCTGTGCAACTGTCATTATCTAATTCCCCAAGGGTTTCATCACTTGGAAAAGGAACTGGTAGTAGTCACTCCCCGTTTACCCCCTCCCTTCCGCCCCCGGGGATTCCTAGCCCTCCTTCAGTGTCTGTGGATTTGCCTATTCCGGGCAAATAATAAGATACTAGGTCCTCATTCGTGACTGATTTCTTTCACTTGGCGTTTTTATGGCTTATCCACACTGTGGCCTGTATCGATACTTCATTTATTTTTATGCTGAGCAAGATTCCATTATATGCACGCACCACATTTGTTATTTTTAGATGTTGATAGCCCACTTTTTGGCTATTATGAGTAATGCTGTTATAAACATCTGTGTACAAGTTTTTGTGTGGACACATGTTTTCAATTCTTTGGGGTACTACCTAGAATAGAATTGCTGGTCATATGGTAACTCTGTGTTTAACTTTTTGAGGAACTACCAGACTGTTTTTCAAACCGGCTGCAACTTTTTATATTCCTCCCCCAATGCAGGAGAGTTCCAATTTTCTCTCCATTTCCCTAACACTTTTTCTCATCTGCCTTTTTGATTCCAGCCCTCCTGGTGTGGGAAGTGGTGCCTCATTGTGGCTTTGCTTTGCATTTCTCTAGGTCATCATGAGGTGGGACATCTTTCCATGTGTCGGTTGATCCTTCCTTGCTGGAGAAGGGTCTGTTGCATTTCCTTGCCTCTTTTTGTTTTGTTTTGTTTTTTGTATCAAGGGGCAGCAGTTCTTTATATTTCTGGATACCAGACTTTCATCAGCTATATGACTTCCAAATTGTTCTCCCCTTCTCTGTGTTGTCTTTTCACTTTCTTGATGCTATATCCTTGAAAGTACAAAAGTTTTTATTTTGACAATGTCCAATGGACCTATTTTTTTCCCCTTTGGTCACTGTGCAGTGTCCTATCCAAGTACCCAGCGCCTAGTCCCAGCTCATGAAAGTTTACACCTGTATTTCCTTCCTTCCCACTACAACAGTCGTTGGTTACTGTAGCTTTGTAGTGAGTTTTGAAATGGGGAAGTGTGAGTCCTCCAATGTTGTTTTCTTTTTCAATATAACTCTGGCCATTTGGGGCCTCCTGCAATGCCGTATCACTTTGAGGGTCAGTGTTTCCATTTCTTTAAAAAGAAAAAAAAAAGCCACTTGGGATTTTGAAAGAGATTTCTTTGAATCCGTATATAAATTGGGGGGGGGGTAATGCTATTGTAAAAATACTAAATCCTCTTAGCTGTGTCTTTCCCTTTATTTAGGTCGTCCTTAATTTCCTTCAGTGATGTTTTGTGGTTTTCAGTGTACATTAGGTTTGCTTTTGCGTTTGATTCATCAAAGGCAAAGGTTATCATAGGCCTAGGCCTTTTTGGATCTATCTTTTAAAAACATTGTATTCTGAGGGGCACCAGATGGGTTAAGCCTCTGCCTTGCGCTCAGGTCATGATCTCAGGGTCATGGGATCGAGCCCCGCATCGGGCTCTCTGCTTGGCAGGGAGCCTGTTTCCCCCCCTCTCTCTCTGCCTGCCTCTCTCCTCCTTGTGACCTCTCTCTCTCTCTGTCAAATAAATAAAAATTTAAAAATCTTAAAAAAAAATTGTATTCTGACATATGCATTCTGAAAACGACATAGAATACAAAGTAAAATCTAATATTATACAACAAAACCCCACCCAGAGCAAGAAATATAATATTTCCAACATGCCAGAAACCTCCCCAAACCTTTCTTCCCCTTCAGTCACTTCCTTGCTTTTTATGAAACCATTCGTGTATGCATCCCTAAACGAAAGGGTAGTTTGCCTGTCTTGAACTTTACATGAATGGGAACACACTCTATCTTCCTTTTGTGTCTTCTTTTTTTGGCTCAACATTCTCACACAAAGCTCATTCATTCTTTTTTTTTTTTAAGTATTTTATTTATTTATTTGACAGACAGAGATCACAAGTAGGCAGAGAGGCAGGCAGAGAGAGAGGAGGAGCCCCCGATGTGGGGCTCGATCCCAGGACCCTGAGTCGTGACCTGAGCTGAAGGCAGAGGCTTTAACCCACTGAGCCACCCAGGCGCCCCAAAGCTCATTCATTCTGATCACTGTATAGTATCCCGTTGTGTGGCTGATATAGTATCCATTCTACTGCATTTGGACATATGGGTTGTTTCCAGGTTTGGGCTATTACTAGCAATGCTGGAATGAGCATTTATTCTTTTTTAACCAGGAAAAAATTACTAAAAATAATTCTCAGAAGCCTGAGCAAGCATATCCACAGGCTTTGCAGAGCCGAGGACAGCTGTGTTCCCTCAGAGTCGTTTCAGAACCCCCCGACCTCCTCCTGAGAGGACCCCAGACAATGGACGGACCCCAGCAGAGAGTGCTGTCGGTGAAGGCATCCAGCTTTTCCCAGATGTGAACAGTTTTAGGCTTGGGTTGTGCAACCAGCCCTGGGCTTTGGCACGCGGCTGGTCAAGAGATTGGAATGGACTGCTCCCATTTCCCTACCCCCAAGATTAGAGTCATTTAATCCTCTGGGTATTTGAGGGAGGAAGGGGGACGGGAGAGGTCTGGCGAGCTGCTTTGTCACAGACCGAGCCTGACTCTATCTTTCCTGCTGTATTGAGATGAAAGCCCTTTGCCCACCTTCCCAGGTGAGAGCTTGGCTATTCTACAGGTACATTGGATCAAGAGATCGCTTGGTGTCCTTTGCCCTGGGAAACAATATTCAAAGAACCATTCTGAGTTCTCACTATAGGGACAAGGGGTGAGGGTAGGGGAGGGGAAAGACATGCAATGATACAGCTTCAAATCACTTCCAATTAAGCTTGTAGCTAATTTTCCACAGCCTGAGCTCCCTGGAGTTGCCCTGTGGGTCTGGACACTACGCAGAAAGGGAGACTTACGACTGCCAGCTTGCTGGGAGTCTTTAAGCCACTGAGTGTGGTCTCCATCAAAGGGAGACAGCGACTCCTAGCTCCCCACCTCTCAACAGAGTTCCTGGGCTCTGCTTCTCCTATCCCTGGGGCTGTTGGTTTCCCAAGGAGGCCCGACCCAGCGAACAGCGGACCCAGAGAAACCTCAGGCTCAGGGCTGTCACCGACATTCCCATCCCACAGGGAATGAGATGTCCTATGAGCCACATTTCCACTTCTGGTCTCCCAGTCCTCCCACCCCTGACCCCGCTCCTCCTTGGGGAATTGGTAAGAAAGTCAGACGGAGTCTTCTTTTGACCCCAAGTCGTCTCTCTAGCGTTTGAGCCAAGCGAGCTGGCCGTTGTCTGCTGCTCCATGTCCAAGGTCCTGGCTCGTGGCGACAGTCTTCCCTGCACCTTAGTTGCCTGACTGCAGAAAGGAGGGGCCGGGACGTGCAGAGCCCCATAGCCGTGGCCAGGGGCTCCAAAGGCAGATTGGCTTTGGTTCACTTCTCTTCCCACTCCCACCCCAGTCACTGGCACAAAGATCCTCCCCGAACAGCCATAAAAGCGGTGACAATCTGATGTCTCTAAATCAGAGGAGCCCTGAACGATGTTCCAAGCATAATGCCAACCCGAGTAACACATTGTGTACATGATTTTAATGGTTTATTTTATTTATTTTGGGGGGAGGAGGGGTGGAGGGGCACAGAGAGAGGGAGAGAGTGAAACCTCGAGCAGACTCCACACCCAGGGCAGATGGGGCTCGATCTCACGACCCTGAGATCATGACCTGAGCCAAAATCAAGAGTCAGACGCCCAACCAACTGAGCCACCCAGGCGCCCCATCATGTATGTGACTTTAAGAACTAGAACAGAAAAGGGACTTTTCCTTACGTTGCTGTTAGAAATGTGGGCTGGCCACCTTTCTCATTTCCCTGTTTGGAGGTGAATATGGCCCATCTTGCCTTTTCCTGCCCCGG